GGCAGTAAAAAGTCACAACAAAAATAAAAGCAAATAGTAAGAATAAAAGAAAATCCTAAAACAATGCACCGGCATAATTTATTCATGTTGCAATGCATGCTGGGAGCCATGGATGAGTTATGATTTGTGCACCCAGAATGCACTGCAACATGAATCTGTCTGATGATCATCACCATTGTTGAGATTCATATGCTGATTCTTGATGTCTGCGTGTTTAAACAGAACAGATGTTCTAAACTGGTGTGCAAAGTGTTTTTAAAGTTCTTCGTGTTTCTTTTTGAAATGCAGGTGTGATCAATAACTTAAGCTATGTTACACATTACCACTGTTGACATCCATGAATCAGGCCATGCATGACAACTACAACCGTATAAAAACCAGCCGATATAATCTGATCACATTTATGCTTGCTCTTTCTTACCGTAACCAATGTGTTTCATAAACAGTTACAACAACCAGAAAAAAACTTAATTTGGCAATTCAAGGGTCAAGAGCCCAACTAAAGCAAACACTTATCTCCACAGCGGTGACTTCAAATTGTATTATTTTCAATAAACATTAACATCTAAATCTCTGTTAATTCTTAATAAGAAATTTTTTGATGCATGACAAAAAAAAGTCTAACTGGTTAGTAATGCATGAGGCTGGTGATGCTGTTCGTGGATTTGTTTAATAATCTTCTGCTGAGATCTTGAGAGATTTAATGTCTTTTATTTCAGTTGATTTCATCTAAGGCTGTGGCTGAAGTCAGTTGTAGTTCTTGTGTTTCTCTTTTCTTCAGTGATTCTGCTTGTTAACAGCAGCTGTTCATCACTAATGATCAATCAGCACTTAATTAATCACAGAATTATCTCATTAACTTTAACACTCTTTTAGAGTGGGACCATATATGCTCTGAGCAGTGTTCATTTAACACTCGGGATTTTACTGTGTACATTTGTTTGTTTCTAAATACACAATGTACGTTCTCGTGCAGCTGCCATGAACCTGGAGAAGGTAAAGCTCTTCAGACATTACTGTGTGATGATGAGACATTCGTCTTTATTCGCATCTAGGGTAAGATCATTTCTCTAAGGTGGACAACTGAAAGCTGTTACTCTGTCCTCAGATCGTGTGTAATATCATCTCGATACTGCTGAAGCTCACGGTGCCGTTCCAGTGGCAGTGGTGTCAGGAGATAATCACAATAACCCTGCTTCAACATAACATGATAGCATAAATAAGATATGTAGATGGCGTTTCAGGGCTCCAGCGCCACTAAGTTCTGCAGATGGTGGGTTGCATTAATAAGAGCAGTTACTCATAATATTACATGTTTATTTCTTGGTAAGACACATTTGACAGTAAAGCACTGAGCTTGAGTTGATGCATACAAAATTTACTTTTTAACAACAGTAACGTGCAACATTTTTATATAGAAAATGAATATAGGCTATTCTTCTTGCATTAAATGTACCATTATTCTCATAGTATTATATGTAACTGACCGATAACTTCAGTGATAATAAAAGGAACACTGTGATTGTTGCAAACTGAGGAAAAGTTTGTTTTTCGAGGCACTTTGTGACTTCTCTCTTACTTCAAGTGCAGAACTCTGACAAAATCAGATTTCTTGATGATTTGATATTTTATAATAGTGATTTCATAATTTGTGATTTTATCATTTCTAAATATAAAGGAAAAAGTAGAAATGAATGACTATTATAATGGTGATTTAATGTATTTTTTTTTAATTTGACAAAAGTGTTTGTTCACCACAGTATATTTTGGTCATGCCATTAAAAATAACATTCAAATTGGATCATTTAGGAGCCTTAATGTGCTGGAAACATTTGTGTGAAATGCTTGTAAGTCATTGAAAATTGCTTGAATTTCTCTCTCAAAAAGACTGTACAAACCCTGAAATGAATCATGTAATAACATTTGACTATTTCTGCCACAACATCATGGTTACTAGTACTGTCAAACGATTAATCGCATCCAAAATAAAAGTTTTTGTTTACATAATATACAGTGGGTACGGAAAGTATTCAGACCCCCTTAAATTTTTCACTCTTTGTTATAATGCAGCCATTTGCTAAAATCATTTAAGTTTTTTTCCTCATTAATGTACACACAGCACCCCATATTGACAGAAAAACACAGAATTGTTGACATTTTTGCAGATTTATTAAAAAAGAAAAACTGAAATATCACATGGTCCTAAGTATTCAGACCCTTTGCTGTGACACTCATATATTTAACTCAGGGGCTGTCCATTTCTTCTGATCAGCCTTGAGATGGTTCTACACCTTCATTCGAGTCCAGCTGTGTTTTGTTTATATATGATATAATTTATATGAATATAAATATACACATGTAAATATTTTCTAAATATAAGCTGTATCTGTGTGTCTTTATATATACAGTACACGCACATACATTATGTAAACAAAAACTTTTATTTTGGATGTGAGTAATCGCGATTAATCGTTTGACCGCACTAATGGTTGCAGTTAGTGTTACTGCTTCTGGTTTTCTATGTCAGCGCCATTTGATCTATAGCACAGATTTCTGTGCAGAACTTGAATGCATCTCACTAGATCTCACAGCAACCTTTATTCATTCTGCGGCGAACTCAAATGCGTCTCACTGGATCTCGCAGTGCTGTGCTGTAACAGTGTTGCGGAATAAACGTTGGTTCTCGAGTAAAGCTGTTCTGAGCTCAGACAAGTGCGACCGTGCGACCGCTCACAAAATTTAGTCGCACCGGCAGAAAAAATGGTCGCAGTCTGGAGCCCTGCGTTTGTAGCACAGAAAATCGTTCCGACTCAGCCATAACTGGATGTTTTGTCTTTTCTCTGAAAAGAGAGAGAGGGTCATATCAAAGAGGGCGGAGCCTGGACTCTCAAACTCCTCCCCTTCCTGAGGTTGTTGTCACGGTAACCACAGACAGACTCACTATGCAAGTGGAAAATACGGAATGGAAAAAAACGTGTGAGAATAAAGCGCAGCAGACACGATTTCCGTGAGGATGATTTTCCCGTACGGACTCTGGGATGACGGTGACCCGGACTGAATCTCTTGCTTTGGTTTACAGTAATGATGTGGTCACTCTGCTCAATCCGTTAATTTGTTCGCTCATGTATTCCTTCATTCCAAAGATGTACAATCGTTATACCGGATGTGTGACGATAATTTGATTTTAGCCTTCTTTTATTTCCTAATGTCTTTATTATTTAACCGAAGCAGTTTGATGCTGTTGTTTGTACCGTATTGTCCCGAATATAAGACGATGTTTTTTTCTTGGAAATACATCTGAAAAAACGCGGTCATCTTAAATTCAGGGTCCAGACTTTGGCATGTCAATAATACACCCACAACAATAGGTGGCGCCAAATAAGCATAAAACGAGTGTGCCATGAAATAAGTAATGTAATGCGTGTTGTAAAGATCGCGAGTAAAAACGAAAGCGAAAGAAAAGCTTACAGCTGCATGAGTCGTGACTGATGGGACCAAACTCTCTTTGTGATTTTAAAACGTAAGACAGTACCCAGATTTGAAGACTACAGTAAGATTTAACTTCTACCGTTAATAAGATTTTGGTAGGCTAAACTATTAGATGGATAGCCTAAATGTGCAAATTCATTTTTGTTTTTTTATGGTATATCAAAAAGTGTATATTTTTTAAATGTGATTGTTGGTACATTTTTCCAGTTTTTACCACACTTTCAAAACAAATATTAAAATAGGAAAAATATGCGATATGAAAATAATTGAAGACAAAATGTGTTTTACTGAGAAAAAACAAGATTTGGTTTTTAAAAAGCCTTTTTCCAAAAGGTACATCTGGAAAAAGGGGGTCGTCTTATAATCGGGGTCATCTTATAATCGGGCCAATACGGTATATCATGGTTTTTTCTGTTAATTTTTGATCCGACGGCTGGAAGCGATTCTTCTCTAACAGAACCATAAATACGGCGCACTGTAACAGATAAGACGGTGTTTCGTAAAACAGGTTGGTTATCGTGACACCGTCACCGGGTAAGCGAAAGATCTGGGGAACGTTCATCGTGTCCTTTTCCTCCGATGGATATATTCAAGATTTTTATTTTAAAAAATGCTGGTGTTGTAGATTTCTTTAAAGCGCACTGCCGCGTTCATGACTTAATGTTTATGTTCTGTCCTGGATGAAGCGGGGTGTTCCTGAGAGGTTCCCAAAACAACCTTATCAGACAATTTTTGTCTTTTGCTTCTTTGGAAAAGGTTGCGCTTTATTTTGTGATATTTTACTCATGGCTCCATCTACTCTGTAATAGTCCCTCCTTTATTTAACAACTATAAATATTGATATACAGTTATAAATGAAGCAACACCGCGTATTACTGCTAACGCCACAACTGCATCGCGACCGTTAAAACTAACGGCCCACACTGAAAGCGCGGGAAGCTTCGCACCAGTTTAGACTTGAAAACCTCTTCAGAACGCCTCCAGTTTCCCCCTCAGTGCTCTTAAACTGGCTAATATTTCCACAAGCTGTCAGAGAAATACACTTTTTCCTGCTTGATTAATAGCAGGTTTATCATGCTGATTGTGTTCAAGTTTGGAATAAATCAAATGACTTGAATATCGACTCGTTTCTTCGGTTTGTAATGTGAGGGAACCCTGATAGCACACATACATCTCAGAGACGTCTATTTGACGTCTGCATTTACATCTGGAAGATGTATTTTTTACAATGTTTGCTCCAGGGTGTGCACAGGTCCTTAAAATGTCTTAAATTCGGATTCGATGGGTCTTAATTATTTTTGGTCTCATTACCGCTAAAATATCTTCAGTCTGACGGACCTAATGACTTTACAATCAATGGACAGACCCGCGGTAAGTTACTGCGTCGTCAGACAGAACTGCAGTATGTTAGCAGAATACAGAATACAAGCTCGCGCTGAGGCTCACTCTGTTTGTTTCGAGACTTCAGAACAAATGAGTGTGACCGCACACAAACTCAGAAGAAACACACCGAGGTAAAACTTCTAGTGCGCGTGCACATTTGCAGTGCGCGCTTTCACTGCATGATTCAGTCTATTAAAATACATTCAGTATGATCACAAACTCAAGACATGGGGGCAGAAAATGTGTATATTTATACTCAAGTTCACACGGAAGAGTACCTTTTTTCTCCAAAAATTACTATATACAAATGTGATATTGATTTTTTTACACAAGTTCAATAACCTAGAACATGAAAATATTGCTTCAGAATTAATAGTTTACTCCACCAAAAATCTCAGTGATGCAGTTATTTTGCGGGGATATTTTGTGAGGAATATTGTCTGCTGACATGAAAAGTTCACTGTATATCATAGTAATAAATACCATTTATTACAGCATTGCTATTTTGTTTTCTTTTTAATTTATACACATTAAATATTACATACTGTATATGTATGTAATAAAATGTGTATTTCCATTACAGGTGTAGGTCTTAAATTTCATATAAGGTGGTATTAAAAAGGGTTTTAAAGGTCTTAAATTTAACTTGTTCAAGTCTGCAGAAACCCTGTGCTCATCTGCAATGCGTCTGTAAGACGTTTTCTATCAGATGTCAAATAGATGTCTATTAGATGTCTTTAAGATGTTTATGATTTAGAATGCATGTAAAATTGACCTCTTACAGACGTCTGTTAGATGTTTGTACACAGCAGATGCTTTCCAGATCAAGTGATCTGTAACAGACCTCTTGCAGACGTGTGTGTGGTCTGTGGGAAGAGAAAGCTGTTCCGGGTCCGCTGCTGATGGGATGCTCCTCGCTTCTTCTCCGCCGGAGTCACGAGTAAACACGATGTAAGTGTGTGAAGGATTCTGTACGGTTGGGTTTGTGATGCAAATACTTGAACGCGTTTAAGGTTTTAAGGATTGCTGTAGTTCTAGGAGCTCGAATGGACTGAAATCTTAGTTTGTACTGCATCTGCAGTCCTTTAATAATACATTAATATCAGCCTAGTTTTAATTAAACTGGGCTTGGTGATGTTTGAGATGAATAGTCATATTTTTAAGAGATCGCTCACATCGCTGAGGGTGCTTCGGGTTTAAGTTTCTCCGCAGTGCGACAGGGGAAAACTTTAAGCCGTGTGTGTCTCTCTGTGTGTGTGTGTCTCTCTCTCTCTCTGTCTGTGTGTGTGTGTGTGTGTGTGTGTCTCTCTCTCTCTCTGTGTGTGTGTGTGTCTCTCTCTCTCTCTGTGTGTGTGTGTGTGTCTCTCTCTCTCTCTCTCTGTGTGTGTGTGTGTGTGTGTGTCTATTTTGGTGACAAATGTGTATCCAGAATTGAGCTAAACCTGACAAATCTCCCAAAACCTGTTTGGGGACGTCCTCATTTGTAAAAAATGGTATAAAATGTCATGTTTAGGATACAGTATTTATGGTCTGTCTATAATACAAAAGAAGAACAGCTGGGTAAGTGTGTGAGAGAGAGAGCCAGAAGCAGCTTTGCAGGGACTCTGCGTATGACACAGCAGAATTCAATTCCCTTTTCTCTTTATTTATTTTACTTTAGTTTCGTAATGAATGCATTTGAGTCCCTCGTGTCATTCAAACCCGGACGAGTTTCTTTCTTCAGTGAAACACAAATTATATTTTGAGAAATGTTTCAGCATTTTTTGTCCATATAGTGGAAGTCAATGGGGTCCAGTGTTGTTCGGTTCCTCAGCGTTCTTCAAAATATCTTTTGTGTTCCTCTGGTCTGGAGAAAGTCCGGCTTTTACAGAAGCGGGTTATCTTCTTTGCCAACAGAGCTGGGTAGTAATGTACATATAATCTGAATTATGCATTCAGATTCCAAAGGTTAAGTACTTGTAATTAGATTGAATTACATTTTAAAATACGTGTAATCAGACTACAGTTGCTCTTTATGCATTACATGATTACATATTATTCACACAATAGCAATAAACTATTCATTGATTCTCCATAATTCCTCTTTTATATCTTTTCAATTTTCCTATCTTAAATAGTCTACCTAAAATGTGTGAATTTGCTAACTACAATTTTTGTCATGTAATTTGGAATCAGTAATGGACTGCAATTTGTAAGTAATTCTCTCAGCTCCGCTAATACAGTCAAACCAAAATATATTCAGACACATTCAACATTTATGTTCACATAATATCACAGTTTATTCGCTATAGTTTAGAAAATGGTAATACAATATGACAAGAACTCAGCGTCAGAATAAATTCATCTTGATAATGTCAGATAACTTTGATAGAAAGGTAAGTAAAGTAGCTGTCAGCTGTTAAATGTAAGTACACTATTAGATAATACCAATTTAGGATTAACCAATTACCAAGCAATGCCTTCAGTCTGTGCACTCTTAAAAATAAAGGTTCCAAACGGGTGTTTTTGCAGTGATGGTTCCCCACAGAACCTTTCAGTGAACAGTTCCTAAAAGAACCATTTTGAAGAACAATTTAGAATATAATATTGAGAAAATCATCTTTAAAGTTGTTCAAATGAAGTTCTTAGCAATGCATATTACTAATCAAACATTAAGTTTTGATATATTTACGGTAGGAAATTTACAAAATATCTTCATGGAACATGATCTTTACTTAATATCCTAATGATTTTTGGCATAAAAGAGAAATGTATAATTGTGACCCATACAATGTATTGTTGGCTATTGCTACAAATATACCCCAGCGACTTAACACTGCTTTTGTGCTCCAGAGTCACATTTTGCTATCCACACTTACATAAATGAACTATAGTGTACTGCACCCACTATAAAGATATCCAACATTAAATCTGATGTCTGAATAATTCCTGATCTGACTGTATCTAACAGAATCAGTCTGGATTTCTCCTCAGGCGTCTGATCGGCGTGACGCTGCTGTCTCTGCTGTCTCTGGAGTCTCTGGCCGTCAGCAGTGTTGGGTCAGATATTACACTCATTATTAGCCCTCTGGAGGACCACAGAGGGACAGTAACGTGTGTGTGTGTGTGTGTGTGTCTCTTACAGCCCCAGTAACTCGTCCAGCAGCTTCTGCAGCGAGTCTAGAGAATGTCTTCAGTTCGATCTGCTCTGCCGGACAGACGAGTACGAGGTCAGGCGCTCCTCGTGTGTGTGTGTGTGTGTGAGTGAGTGTGTTTCTGGACTGCGCTGAGCTGAAGTGGTGCTGTGGTTTATAACCCGAGTGTGTTTGCAGGTTCGTCGTTACTCAGCCACGCGGTGGGTCTCTTCAGACGCCGAGGCGTATTTCCTCGGGGTCGGAGCCGCCATGGCCTTCAGACGCCTCTATCATTACATCTCTGGAGCCAATGAAGAGGGTTTGTGATGGAGTTCACATCATAAACACCAGCACAGATGAAGACAGCAGTGACTAACACAATGTGTGTGTGTGTGTGTATGAATGTTTGTGTATATGTATGTGTATGTTTATGTTTGTGTGTGTGTTTGTATATGTATATGTATGTTTGTGTGCATGTGTGTGTGCGCGCAGGTGTGAGGTTTGAGATGACGGCTCCGGTGCTTGTTGAAGTCCCAGAGGAAGTGAAGATGTGGGAACCAGCGATCTACACGCTCAGCTTCCTGCTGCCATCAGCCTATCAGGAGCATCCGCCCACTCCCACCAACGACAAGGTCAGAGCCACCAACTCTAAACACCACAGACACGGAGATAGTACTGTAATATTAATGACAGTAGCTTTACACAATAATGCATTTGGTTTAATGCTGCTGTTTTGATGCATTGGTTGTATGTAGTTTTATCTTGGTTTGATCAAATATTTTTTTATTTGAATATTAAAAAATATATATATATTTTATATTTAAAATTTGTAATATTTATCTTAATATTTGTTAATATTTTACTGTAGTATTTATATTAATATTTAATGTTTATTTTATTGTTCAATAAATTTAATTATGGAATATTTTTAATACTAAAATAAAAATATTCAATATTCATATTGAATATTTTATTGTGGCATTTATTATATAATAGTACTATTTATAATATTTATTTTTGTAGTATTTATTTTTATTTTCATATTTTAGTTCTCATTTATATTTAATATTAATATTAGGATTGTAATATTTTGATATGTAATATTTTTACATATTTTAATATACATAGCTTTGAGCATTTTAGCATATCTCAGCATGATTATTTCTATTTTAGCATTTCTATTACTTAATGTTTTTTGTTTTGTTTTGTTTTTTTTCAAATGTATAAAAAAACAACAACATAGCTGTATTTCTCTGATATGCCCGACATGGATGTGTATGTGAGGAGTTACGGCGGCTGGATGCTGTCAATCACCTCCCGACTCCACGCCCACCTGCTGAGCAGAGCACTGCTGAGAGCCCACGCCCACTTTAACCACACCCACCACTACACTGTGGGCTACGACAGGTGAACACACACACACACACACACACCACTACACTGTGGGCTACGACAGGTGAACACACACACACACACACACACCACTACACTGTGGGCTACGACAGGTGAACACACACACACACACACACACACACATTCACTCACACACCACTACACTGTGGGCTACGACAGGTGAACACACACACACACACTCACTCTCACTCACACACTCACTCACTCACACACTCACTCACACACACACTCACTCACTCACACACACACTCACACACACACACACTCAC